AAGCTCTTTTCTTCTTGGGGCTGGCTTAAGTGCGCATCGAGACGGGCAAATTAGCAAGACCCTCGGATGCGGCAGGGGTTGGTGAACCACCAGGGATCGGTCGGTGATCAGTGGTCATGAGCGATCCAGAACACCACCATCGTCGCATCGTAACCTGGGGAGGGGGGAACAGACGGGGTTGTCGAAGATCAGATGCACGAAATGAGTTACCCGGTGATTCGCAACAACAGGCAGGGGGGGGGGGTTCCCTCGATGCCAAAGCTGAACGGTGTGGTTTATACTGGGCGAATTTGCAATTGCAGCCTAGCGGCTCAACAGCATCAAACATGTTGTAGGAGTCCGGCAGGCTATTAGACGAAACCAGGGTCTGTCGTCCTCTGCCCGTGAGGACTAGTCGTCACTCTGTGAGAACCTGACCTCCTGTTGTCCTTGGTTCGAACGCGTCTGCGGAAATCCGCTCTACTGCAAAGATGACGGTGCTAGCTCGCATAGCGCTACGACGTCCAAACCTCACCGACTGTGCGCCATCTCCTCGCCATCGCCTCGCCATCACGCCCAGTCCGTCCTATCCCCAAGACCCAATAGAAGATCATCCCAAGCAACTCACATGGTCTCGCCTTCCTGCAAGCCAACCGTCCCACGCACGGCTTGGGCTATCAACCCCCTGTGCCTAAACACTAGACATTTCTTTCCGTGCCAGCCCCACGAAACTATCCTCCCCTGGCTTGAATTAGCACGAGGCGGGTAATGCAGGGGGGGACTTTGCCTATATGCCTGTGAATGCGGTATGATTGCCTCTCCCGCGTGCGCCGCCGCATGCGCCCGAACAAGAGGATCTACAGACGGCGTCAGAACATCATTTTCGGGGCCCCCACTTCCCTTTTTTGATGGCGCGCTTCCAGGGGGTAGGTGAAGTAGGGCGTTCAAGCGTTCTAAATTCGATACTCCTACGACGCAAGCCTTGGGGCGCTCTTGACTCGTGGGAAAGCGGGCGCGCCGGTTCGCGGGTTAGGAAAAAGGAGGCTACGCTTGTCACGGTATCGAGATCGTGATTTGAGTAGGAGACGCAGAATGCTGCCAGAGGGTTCGGGTACTACATCCCGAACGGACGTCATATCCCTTCTCTAACCCTTCCTTTCCTTCCCTCCTCTCGGAGCTGTGCCGGGGTGGTATTTGGAGTGCAAGCCGGCGGGATACTTGTGTTCCGACCCAGGAAATAGAAATGTTTGGGCGCGCGGTGGACTGGGGACATCATCTGGACGCCCGCGGACGCCCGCGACATGCTCGATATATGGTTTAGCTCCCCCGTTTCCTCTAAGTAGAGTCCAGAGGCAATCCTTCTTTTTTTGCCACGATGTCCGTCGTGGCGTGCGCGGGCAAGTTCTCTATTTGGTGGTATTTCCGGTTGTGATGGAGGACTGTCCGCTTTGATGGCACGTTGTGAGTTGTCCATATTGGTGTACTGGGAAGGTAATTCGCATGAGGTAGGTAGTGAAATTGTTGTGAATAGGGAAAAGGGGTTACTTGCTAACTTGTAAAACGTAATCAAACGAGAAAGCTTGTCAATTTGAGTTTCGGGAGTTGAAGTGAGTGACGGATGGGAGACCGCCTCCCCGCACGTGAGCCGGTTGCTGGGAGGTCTGACACATCCCGGGGTTTCGGCGTTGCGTCCGGGTCCGGAGGGCGCGGAGGTTTTGGGTTTCCAAGGGGACGGGGGCCGGAGGAGAGCTTGTTTGACGTCTGCTCAAACTCTGACGGTATCTGCCAGTAGTTAGTCGTCATACCAGACGTGCACCCTTGATAAAGTCGAGTTATTCACGACCCCGTCGAGACTCTTGAGTAACCACTAATAAGGTAAGCCGTGGAGTAGAACAGCTTGTTTGAGGTCTTCGGATGGGTATGGATAAAGTGACATATCCATACTGTATGGGCTCAGCTTTGAAGGACCGTTGGCATCATTGTTGCCTCCTTTACCTGCACGTGCTATTCATTAGACTTTCGTAACGCGGTCAATCCGAACATATCTCTTCTGAATAGAGTGAAGTTATCACAGTTGAGATGGGTGATGCCTATTAAGCCTTCTATGATTGATGTCATAGGAATGTAGACAAGCGGTGCAACAGACACTTTTCTGCTTATCGGTATTCCATAGCCTAAGGTACGTCCCAGAATGGCTTTTATGATAGAGCTAGGTTGAGAAGAACTGATGGTTAGAAGCCTCAATTTGAACTTCATGCTATCCATCTTGTTTAAGCCCTGCACATGATGAGATGGAATATTTCGTTGCGAAGAGCCCTGTACTCCATCACAGGGTGTACGCACGACGTGTGGGTGTAGAAGATGACTGCGTTGTCTTGCTCTCATACTTTTCCAATGTTCTACGAACTTCCAGGATGGTCTTCTTAATCAGCTTCTACAATTCTCAGAGCTCCACATGCTATCACTCTCTTTCCCTCCATGGCAGATTATGCTGAAGAGAATACGTGGACGATAGTGACGTGAAGACATAGACGCTTGTTCAGGCCCATGTTTGGATGTCAGAGACGACATGCATCGCCTCTACAGGCGACACAAGAGCCGATCCACCAGCTGCCGGATGAGTTACTTGGCTCGAATCTGATAATCCGACACCCGCCTTAGTCCTACACCCGACTTAGATTCGAGTGGTTGGGAAGACAAGTATCAATCGGGCTCATCTACCACTTAATTACTAACCTACTAGTATGTAAGACAGTCTGACCAGTTTAATAGCAACTATAAGAAGTCGAAGAGAAGATCAACGTCTTCGGCAATGTCGGGAAAGAGGCTGGTCACTCGGCCTACGCAGCACTCTAAACGTCCAAGGCATCGAGAAAGCTGTTGAAGACAGTACTGTTGGGTTGATTCTTTTTGGCCCTGCCAGAGTCGTCCGTTGGGCAATAACCTATTAGGTTTCAACCTTTGGAACTCCTTTCGAGTCCTCGTTCTATGAAGACTGACTGGTCATGAAACGTCGCAGGCTTTGCCCAAATGTGTGATTTCGAGGTGGCATCAAGAACAGATTACTGGAGTTAAGGTGTGGTATTCAAGAGGAGCGTTGGTCGTGGAATGTCAATACTCGCCAACCCGGAACCAGGAAGGAACCAGGAACCAGGAACCAGTATGTCGCGCCACCTCTTGGTTTGCAAGAAAGGTATGGGGACCGAGCTCGAGTACTTGAGTTATTCCCATGCACTTTGTGCAAGGAGGATTCGTTGATAACATCACCCATGCGCCCCATTTCGGAGACATGCCTGTTACATGAATCGGAGCGGTTCGTTATGACACTGAGCTTGATATTGGGGTATGGGAAAATAGAGCCATGCCACAACTTCTGGTCGACACGGAAGAATGTGAATTCGTACTAGTAATTTAATCATATCTCCCTAGAGTCACTGCAGCTGCTTGTATGGCAATCGCCCTGGTACTTACTTAGGCGCCATCCCTCAACGTCTTGTGGCTCGTCCGCAACGCGAGTGCTCTCATGTCAAGCCTCTGCCTGCCACGAACTTACACGGGGAAACTACTGTTCACCAATTTCTTGTCCTTCCTCTAACCACCCTTCTCGCCCCTTATCCCCTTCACTAAGCTAAATACGCGGGATGAAAGTATCCGGTGGGATCCTGTACTAATTGAAATCTGCATCTTATCAGAAGCATATCAGGCACTGCTGGTTCCTGGTGAACCTAGGACTAGCGATAGAGACAAGACCATGTCCGGTCACAAAGGCGCCTTGAATTATCCAGTACATGATGTCATCAAAACATGCCGTTACGATAAAATGTTTAACGAAAATGAGAAGGTTTGTGCTGTTGATTAAGTAACCGAAAACAGAGCTTGAAATTGTGTCGACATTTATACGTAAGTAAGTAAGTAGCAACTGCAACGATGAGTATTTGCTCTGTGGGAGGCTCATACAAGCTAGTACAAGAATAGATGGGAGGAAAATACGACAACGTATTTTGCCTAACAAAGTAGGATGTAAGCTTTGTTCTGTAAACGTATTCATTTAGGACTGTGAGGCATGCACCGGTGCGCCACGTATGGGGTGCGAATGTGCTGTGATCGAAGGTTGTACTCCCACTGCCTTATGGTATGAATGATTCTTGATATATAGGTATATGTGTGGGCGCGGCCACCTCACATATGGCTTAGCTTGCTGTGATCCCATCGCTGCTCGCCCTTGGGGCCTCGGCCCGCCTGATGTTGACTTGAGGCCACTGGTAAGCTGCGGTCTCGCACTGAATGGTGACCCTGGACTCTGATGATCATTAATCTGTCAGGGGACTGAAAGGCGATCAACTACAAAGGTAGCCCGTCGTGGGACCTGGCTGACAGTTGCCCCCCCCCCCTTTTTTTTTTTGCTTGCGAAGTCAGAGTTAAGGATACATGGAAAAGTCATATAAGTCTTGCTTGAAAACAGGGAGGAAACCAGCAGGAGATTGTCACCTCTGGCAACTTTCTGCAAAGTGTTCGTTAGCGAATACAGGACTGAAGTACGGGGCCGATAGGCTTCAGCCCGATTCTTACGTTTCTATGGACTCTTGTACTCAGATTCACATCGTCTGTCTCAGGCAATGGAGGAAGGGATCGCACAGATCGACCCATCGCGGAGGAATTTGACTGATGGCTTGTTGCTGTGTGGCTAGGAAAGCTGAACATAGATTTTTTAAGGGCGAAGGAACACTGACTAAAGGGATTGGAGACAAGACGAAAAGAGAAGCGAAGGGGAAGAGTAAGGAGAATGAATCAATCACATATTTGCTTATCCTATATATATATGTCCAAACCTAGTGTACAGCCATTACAGCAGTTTACAAAGTTTTGTATTAGGCTGGGGCGTTTAACTTCTTTGATTGATTCAACATCTCTCACTCATTATACAAAAATTTTCAGCAATGACAGTTTCATTAAATCATATCGCTATGGTACATCTGTACTAGGTATCATTCAGTTCAATCCTCCACACTCAAAAAACCCCTTTACAATCCGCGGTGAGAATCCTGGTGAGAAGGAATCGAGTTCCGTCTTCCGTGGTCTCCGTGGACACCGCCGTGCGCAGTCTCAGGCTCTCCAATGTGCTTAGCAAGCACGGAAGGGGGAACCTGAGCAGCGTCGGTGGGGTCCTTGGCGTGACCAGTCGTACCAGAAGTTCCAGTGCTGGAGTGCGTACTCGTCAGCCACCCAATCTCCCGGAATCGTTCTCTTGCGCGCGTTGTGCAAATCGCTTACTTGTTGCCACCAATAGTCTTGCTACCATCGAGATCGGAGTCGACTCTGGGGTCGGCCTTGTTCAAGAAGTCGCTCTTGTGGGGGCCGGCGGTGCCGGGGGCGGGACCAGTGGTGGCGCTGTGGGTGTTGGCGCCGACGCCAGTGTGGCCGACACCGGTGTGGGCTCCGGTGTGAGCACCAGTGTGGGTGCCGGTGGTGTGGGTGCCGGTGTGAGTGCCGGTAGAGCCAACGCCAGTGCCGACGCCGGTGTGGCCGGGGGCACCGCGGTGGTCCCGGTCAGAGTCGATGCGGGGGTCTGCGGCGTTGGCGACTCTCGAGTTGTGAGTGCCGTGAGTGCCGGTGGGATCATCGTAGCCGGTGGCAGTGTTGGAGCCGGTCAAACCGCCGGTGGTACCGGTGTGAGTGCCGTGGGTGCCGTGGGTGCCGTGGGTGCCCGTGGTACCGTGGGTGCCAGTCAGACCGGAGGTACCGGTGTGAGTACCGGTGTGAGTGCCAGTGCTGCCGACACCACCAACGCCAGCGCCGCCGATGCCGGTGTGGCCGGGGGCACCGCGGTGATCACGGTCGGAGTCGATGCGGGGGTCTGCGGCGTTGGCAATTCTCGAGTTGTGGGTGCCGTGAGTGCCGGTGGGGTCGTCGTAGCCGGTGGCGGTGTTGGAACCAGTAAGGCCGCCGGTGGTGCCGGTGTGGGTGCCGTGGGTGCCGGCGTGAGCACCGGTGGTGTGGTGACCGGCGCCAGCGGGGTTGCCAGTCAGGCCGCCGGTGGTGTGAGTGTTGTGGTGGTCCTTGGAGTGGTCAGAGTCGACGCGGGGATCAGCCTTGTTCAGGGCATCTGACTTGTGACTGTGAGGTGTTAGATGAGAACTCAGATATAAAGAAGGCAAACTGATGAAGCTTACGGGCCAGCGGTGGTGGGGGCAGGGCCATCGTAGCCGCCAACGCCGGTGTGGCCGGTGTGGGTGCCCGTCACGTTGGAGCCGGTGAGGCCACCAGTGGTGCCAGTGTGTGTGCCGTGAGTGCCGGTGGTGTGGGTACCGGTGGTGTGGGTGCCAGTGGTACCGGTGAGGCCGGAGGTGCCGGTGTGGGTTCCGGTGGTGTGGGTGCCAGTGGTACCGGTGAGGCCGGAGGTGCCAGTGTGGGTTCCGGTGTGAGTGCCGGTGGTGCCAGTGGGGTTGGCGCGGTGGTCACGATCAGAGTCGATGCGGGGGTCGGCGGCGTTTGCTGCGCGGCTGTCGTGGTGACCGTGGGTTCCCTCAGGCTGCTCATGCTTCTTGTCCGAAGACAGAGCGTCCTTGACCTTGTTGACAATGGAAGACATATTGGGCTATCTGATGATTTGGGGTATCAAAATGAAATCAAATATGGGTTATGAAAGAGGTGGTTTCTTGTGATTTTGTTGTGAGCGTTGGTGATTTTGGGGTATCTTGTGTTATGATGAAGAGAAAAGAGAAGAAAGGACGAGACGGAGGAGGAGAGGTCCTGGAGGTTATATAGAATTAAAGACACATCGAGAAGCTGCATCTTCAAAACTCCTTTCCGATGGTAGATCATACAATTACGATCCCGATCCAGCAAGCAAGCAAGCCCCGTGGCTGGCCCTTCTCTCACTCCTCTCTGTGACCACCCTTGCAACGCCTACGCTGTGACTGACAACAATCAAGGAACCTGCATCACCGTGCCTGCTTGCCTGCTTGTCTAGGCCAGTCCAGCGCCAATGCCCATACAACACAGTACATGCCGGCATGGGTTTGGTTTGGAAGAGGAGAAAGTGGCCGCAGAGGTGAGGGACAGCTTGGGCACTTACTTCATACATCGTCATAGGTCTTGGACGCAGGTGTCTCATTCGGGGACTGCAAGCTTCAAAGGTTGTCAGCCAGTCGGGGTGAGGCGTTGGCCCCAGGACTAGCATCAGTCGGTAGTGCGGTACATCTGCTCCGGAGGGCAGACCGGGGTCCCTCCCCCTACCCCCAGGCCAATGGGGAACCGGTAAACTAGACCCAGTTTGCCATGGCTGGATGACGACCCAGAGGCATTGTCTGGCGTGACACTGCGCTTGTTTCCGTCAAGCCTTTTTGCTTTGCTTCATAGAAATCTCCGGTTTGGCATGGAGAATGAAGGTACAGAGGTACTCAGGGTTCCCAAAGAGGGTTCCCAAGAGCTCGACAGCACGTAACATGTCAGGGATTTGTCGTCATAGGCAAAAGGAACGGTGGGTCACGACGGTTCGAGAGGGGACGAAGATCTGTGGCTGGTGACGTTATAGGGCTGCGAGATGGACAGCAAATGTGGCGAAGACAAAATGGAGAAGAATTGGAGACGTGTGGTTATTTTGGCTCGGACTGGAGTACCTAGGTAAAAGACTGGTAACCTGGAAAAAGCACGTCTCTTTTCGTTCGTTCAGGTACGCTACCGCACGTGGTGGAGGAGGGGAAAGCTTTAGAGAGAATCAGAAACTAGGTACCCAGCTATTCCGCCTGGCGCTCCTGTTCGTCTCTCCGTTTCGTCCAAGCGCGACAGAGTTGCCAAGCTGAGCTGGCATCTGACTGGGGTAGCGCAGCGTTGGAGACAAAACGAGAGACGGACTGCGCCGCCGCGCGTCGTGTCTCACAGCCTATTCGGCGAGAAAGTCAGTCGCAAGTTTTCCAACTGCTACGAGCCATTGAGTAGGAGTTGTGAGACATTGGAGACCTCTCATTGAGCACGAATAGGTAGGTACCTACAACCCAGGTACGAGCCAGAACCGGGCAAACGCAATCCGTGGTGGCGGTTGTACATACGAGGGGGAAAGACGTGATCCGAGCTTTCTCGTTCGTGTCGTGTTCCTTTGGGGGCGAGAGGTCTGAGAGGTTGAGAGAACTGGTAGCCGTAGTGGACTTGTGGAGTGATGTGACATGGATCGAGGTTTGACGTTCCCGAAAGCGTATGTATGGGCTCCAGCCTCGGCCAGGGATGTGTTATGATATCCACAGAACCAAGGCAACGGAAAGGAATCCCCCCTCCAATGACGCGGCATGAAAAGCTCGGCTGGACAGCCCCGCGTGTGGCGTTAGCTCGATGATTGGACAGCCGGACTGGAGACTGGAGATGATGGGAGATTGTGATGTGGCTAGTGACCTCTGATCCTTTTGGTCCCCTCGTGTTTTCGTTGTGAGATGTGTGCCGTAGTGTGGCGTCACCTACTCCATAAAATGCGGTCATCGACTGCTCAGCTCCTTTCGAAAGCCGTGGCGCTAGCTGGGCCAGAATGCCTGCATGTAACCTGCTCTGACCTTCTTCCTTGACCCCGCCTCAACGCGGCTTTGCGGGGCATTACGCCATGCGGCTCTCATCGGACAGCCAGGAGGAAGCCGGAGGAAGCGTAAAGGAGGTGTGGTGGGAGGTGGGTAGACACGCAGAGTGAGACATGCAGAGACTTGTGCCTCCCACCACATCTCTTACTGAGCCCAAGTATCTCAACCTCTTTTTCGTTCGTCTCTTACCTTCCATGTCTCTCTGTCTGTTTCTAGGGTGACAACACAGAGACCCGAACAACATAATAATCCCCGTCCCGGGTGGAAGATCCTGACAAGGAACCTGGATGCAGAAAACCCAACCGCCCCTTGCCGCCGTGCCGCCCTTACATTTTTGGCCCCTCCTTCATCGAAATAACCTCCAGAAATAACCGTGATAATCTACACTCAAAGAGAAAGATCGCCGGGAAATTCGGTCATACCAAAGGCATATTTGCGCAATTCCCATCCTGCCACACAGTCACAACACTTCAAGCCTCGTAAACTTTGCCGCCGTTCCTTACAGTGATCTGCCCAAAAACCAAAACTCCTTCTGCAGAGAAACCCCCGCACTAAGTAAGTCATCTTTTTTGGGGTATGCGTGACCTGTTTTTTTTACGCCAAGCTAGTGAGAAAGAAGCAAAATTACGCTGGTCTTCCCGCAAATTCTGGCGCGGCGCCCCTCCTCTTCAACCACACGTTTTCACGCGACGAGCCAAAAGTTCGAAACTGCTCTGCCGTGGTAACTCGAGGAGACAGTCTAGTCCCAGTTCGAGCTAAAGCTCAAAGGTGATACGGGCAACAGGACCTAGCTCGAAAGCGGTCTGGGGCGGGGGGGGGGGGGATAGAGTAGAGTCCAGACGTCTCGCGGGTCCCCCGTCCCTCTGGGATCGCGGATCGTGAAAGTTTAGAGAGATCTCACTTATTGTCAGGGAAGAGCTTCGGAGGCGGGATCCTACGTAATTTCAATTGCCAATGGTACAATGCTCTCGACCCAATGGTTCCCGATGTCCCCATCCCAACCCCGCTCACGGGAGCATCAGACTGCAGTGGCTTGGGGGTTTCGAACGAGGCACGGAGTAAAAGAGTATGGGGAAACCTGCTTGAAGCCTCACGCCCCCCGATACACGGGCCACGGTCTGTGGTTCTGTCTCGTTCTGGAGCGGTCCAGAACTGCAGATTCGCGTAGGCCATCACGGCCCATCAGTGATCAAGGGTCACGAGGGGCTCTCCTCAAACGCTTCTTCGCGGAGCACACGTCTGTTTTCGGAACGGGCAAAAGCGGTGGCCGCGGCGTGCATAGGTGAGGTGAGAAGAGACCCAGCAAAGCCCAGCCTCGGTTACTGACCGCCTCCTGGGGCCTTGCGTCCTCCCGAGAAAAGTGCTGTTGGTGAGATCTTGGCTAGTTTGGTTTGCCCGCTTCACTTCATCTCGCTTCCAACGGTTCTACTTTCCCCAATCTCTGTGACCTTCTCTGCGGAATTCCTCAGATGGGCGCTGCGGCACTTCTTTGCCTAGTTTCCCACGTTGTCTGATCCTTCGTTGCCAAAGTCCTCAGAGGCTACGTCATTCACGAGCGTTAGCTGTCTCCTAACGTCTAGCGTCCGCGATCGTCTGTTTCTGGTATCTCTCATCACATCCCGACACTTCTTCTAGTACCAGTATTGTCTCTCATGTGTTAGAGATTGGGCCGCTGTCACTGTGGTGCGGCCATTGGAGCGGCAATGGGCTAAGAGCTTAGGCTCGTTTGCAGTCGACAACTGGTCCAGAACCATGGGCCGGATGATCCCACCTTGGTGATTGCATTGAGGCCTTTTCGAGACAGGATGGTTGGCAGCAGTGATGGCGATCCCGCACACCTCACGATCTAAGGGTTTGAAGTCAATCTTGCGCACTACTGTGCAGACCTTCAATGTCCAAGATAATTGGCATGTGCCGCCGTAAGCTCGCTGGTCTGGCTAAACAAGCGTTGAAACCCGTTGACTACCAAATGAGACCCGGTCTTATCGAAAGTCAAACGGTTCTGTGCCGTTACACACGTTTTCGGGGCTTGTCTCTCGCCGGGGGTTACTTGACGTATCTACCAACCTAATAGCACTGCTGCAGGCTCGCCGTCGTAGATAGAAACAGATCATCTCAGACATGAGCTGCGAGATCGTCAGAAAGATCTGATTAGGTAGTGTCAGAAGACACCGAAATTGCGTCAATAACGCCAACATAGAAGCTTCAGGCGGCACAAAAAATACCGAACAAAATCGTCCTTGAGCTGCCACTCGCTTGGCCCACTCCTGCGACTACCATTCTAACACCAAGCGCTTATTGTTGGGCCCAATTCAAATTCAAGAGACTGTTGATAAAACATCGTCACATCAAGTGGGCTGCAGTTGCCAGTCAGCATCCCGAAACGTCGCGGCACTCATCCGGACTTCCTAGGGCTGCGGCCCCGACGGGAGACCCCACTTGCCCCGTATCGTCTGTTTGCCAAGACCGCGGAGCTTTTTTTCTCTCGCGCCGGCTGTCGGCAACCGGATCGGGTGGTGATGCTAGACTGATAAGGACCTCTGAATCGGGAATAAGGTTATCAGGGGTTGTTCGGATGTTTTCTGTAGGTTGTGGCTTGACTTGTGGCTGTATCGACCAGTAGATAGACGCATAAGCACTCATACATCTATCATATGTGTAAGTATATATAAGAGTCCCATTGTGTGACTACGATTATAGGCATCATCCCGCTTGGATTTGTTCGTAGAACCAGTGAGGCTGAGAGAGGGCCGCATCATAAGATATAGCAGAGGTGTTCGTAAATGTCAGTGCCATTTCCATCTTCGACAGGTGTGATAGAAGGGATAAGAACAGGTAGGTAGCATGTGCCAATGCCTCACATGACGACTCCTTATTCAGTTTCATATCAAAATGGGACAAGTTCGTGTCAATACGGGATTCACAAACACATCAGCTTGTAGTGGTAACATAATTCGGTGATATTAAGGTAGGTATATGAGACAGTAGGTAGGGTATTATCGGGTATCAGATCTTCCAGTGAAGAGTC